CACTTATTAGTTGCCTTCTAAGAGCCTGATGCTGATTCTGCATGGATCTCACCTTTACTTCGTGGTACTTTGGATTCTGGTGATAACTTTGCACCCATGTAATAAATACTTCTTTACATATGCCACCTTGGGTGGGTTTCTGTTTCTTGCAACCTATTTTGCTCTAAGACAACGTTATGTCTACGCTGGGGCCCTCCAGAAAAGGAGGATGGGATTTAACGTCCATTGATTCTCCCTGCTGGTGGGAGTGCTCTTGGTTGCAAGTAACACAAAAGTAACTCCACTGGCTTAAACAAGAAAGGGGTTTAACTCATAAATAAAAAGGACGAGTTTCAGGGAAGATTTGATTTAGTGGTCAAATGAGGTCAACAAGGGCTGAGTTTCTCTTAATCTCTACAGCTTTTCTCTGGGCATCAATTTTATCCTCAGGCTCCATGTGGTACCCAAACCAGTCTCTCTTTCCCACCCCATCCCTTCCTCTGTGCTAGCAAAATAGGTGCAAAGGTCATAGACCATTTTGCACTTTCCAGGAACGAGAGAAGCTTCAGTCTTGGGGTTGATTTTCTATTGGCTCTGTTTGGGCCGTGTATCTATCCATCCTCTAACCTAGACTTTCTCAACATGAGCACTATTGACACTTGGTGCCAGATCATTCATTGCTGTGGGGAGCTGTCCTGTGTACTGTAGGATGTTTAACAGCATCTCTGGCCTCTACCCATTAGATACCAGCAGCACCCCCTCCTCAATTAGGTGACAAAAATATCTCTAGACATTGCCAATTGTCCCCTGGGGAGCAGGATCACCCCTGGTGAAAACTTCTGCTCTAACCAATCACTATGCCAACGAGATATGGAACATGCTATTTTCCTAAAGCATTCTTTATAGTCTGCTCTGTAACTGAGTGTGGGGTAAATTTAGGGGCAATCGGGTCTTTAGAAGCATGAATTCTGTGGAAGCAACTAATAAATGTTCACTCCACCTCATCTCCCCCTTTGGCTAAGTCTTTGAAGATGGACAAGTCTTTTACATTTTTATCTCAGATGTGTTTTATTTCTGTTCATCTGATCTCTACATATTTATTAAGCACCTACTATGTGCCAAGTCTTGGACATGTGGTTGGGAGTTGAATGATGAATTATATAGGATCATTCTCTTGCTCTTATGTCATTTCAAGATAGTTAAAAGATGTTTAGGGGTGGCCCTTTATGTCCCTTTAGACCTTATTATTTCAGTATATGCTGACAGTGTCTGACTGAACACCTGAGATCTTCCACCTGGGGACTTTCTCTTGTGTGGGGCAGGGACAACCCTCAATAAATGAGGGAGGGGTGGGAGTTGGTGCATCAGTACCCCAGATTTCTCACCCCTCTGGGGGCAACTCTGGGGTGTAATCCACAGAGTCTCTTGAAGGATGCCCGTTGGGATTGAGCCCCAGTTGTCCATAGCAGCCACCTGTTCTTCCTCATTCTCCTACTGGAACTTTCTGCAATGATCTCAAATTCCTTGCATTTGAATCCTTGGCTGGAGAGAAGTCCATCTTAGCTGTGTGCATAAATGGATTCTTGGGAGTAAACACTAAAATATCTGTTGGTGCTCGAGCAAGTTTGGGGATCATTCTTCCTGATATTGGACAAACAAGGAGAAAGTCCTTCCCCCCACCCACGTTTTCCACTCTATCCTGCAACCCTGGCTTTATGTAAACAGGACATTGGAGAAGAGGGTCCCACGGGACAACCCGCTTTTGCACCTGGTGGAGCTGAGGTATTTGTAGGCGCATGTGAGACTCCCCCACTCTGGGGGCTCCCTGAATGGTTGAAGGAGGCGTGTTGTGGGGGGCTTGGAATCCTGCATCGGTGACCAGGGAAAGTGAGGGAATGGGACTCGAAAATTCATGTGCATGTGGCTTCATTGGCACTCAGAGGGTGGGAAGGCTTGGGGACTTTGGATCTGACGTCCTAGTTGGCGTCTTGCCAGAGAGGACAATGATAGAACAGCTGAGTGTCTGCTGTGGGTCCACATCTGTCCTCATCCCTCTCCACCCCGCTGTGTGCTCTGGGAGATGACCTGGGTAGACGGCAGCAAGGGGCTCCCTCACGGTCCGGCTTCCACGTGGGTTTGGCTCATGACAGGCACAGGTGGGAGAGGAGAGGGTGGGTTGTTTATTTCCCTGGCTCCCTGGGGAGCTGTGGTGCTCCCTGCATCCAGCCACTCTATGAACTCAGGTAATTTTTTCTCTTTGGCCCATCTGGTCTGTGGGTGGTGGAGGCGCTCCACCATGGTGAGTCCCAAGGTGCGGTGCCATCCTTACCTACCCCTGCCCACGGCTCATCTACCTGCCGATCTCTATCATCCGTCTCCCACCTGCCATCTACCTGTGTCTGTCATCTGTCAATCTACTTATCACCTATCTATCTTTTTTCTTTCTATTTTTGTCTTTTTCTATTTCTCTTTTCTATTTTTCTATCATATCTATCAATTGTATCTATTTGTCCATCTTTCTGTTATTTATCTATCTTATCTATCATCGGGGGTTCTTAAAGATGTGGTGAGGGAATGGAACGTGGGAAATGAAAAGCAGGAGGGAGGGGACGTGAGCGATGAGGGCTTCCTGCAAGGTCTCAGGTGCAAGGTCTCGCCAAGACCCCGTCTGGTTCCTGCTCCTGTCCTTGCTGTCATCTCATGGTCCTGCTGGAGGGGTGGAGTCAGCATAGCTTTATTGATGTCTTCCTTGGTTTCCTGGTGTCTGGATAGTATGTGCAAGTCTGTAGCTCCAGTCTGGCTGGAAATCAACTTTACAGTCATGTAAATAGTGCCACTTTGCCCTGTAACCAAGATTCAAAGTATCAACTAACCATGGGAAAAGAGGGAACTCAGAGAAATGCACGCCAAGAAAAAAACTGTCTTTTAAAAATCTGAGTACAGCCCATGCGGTTTTAGGTCCTAACATGGCTTCAGTCCTGCTCGTGCCAGCAAAACCACAGGTGACCTGATCTCTGTTCATCCTCTCACCACGTTCCCTCCCCGCCTCCTCTTTGCTCCCTTCATTCCAGCTATTGCAGCTTTCTTGATTTTCTCTGTACACATGAAGCTTGTCCCACCTGTACTGAGTCGAATGGTGACCCTTCCTACCCACCCTAAATATGTCCATTTGGAACCTGTGAATGTGCTCTTACTTGGAAAGACCGTCTTGCCAATGTAATTAAGTGAAGAATCTCAAGATCATCTGGATTAAGGTGAGCCCTAAATTCAGTGACAAGTATCCATATAAGAGACGGAATGGAAGACACAGACACAGGAAAGAAGGTCATGGAAAGATACAGGCAGATGCCAGGCTCCCAAGCTGGGGTGGGGGGCCACCCTGCTCTCCCACGGTCCTCAGCCATGTCCCTTCAATGTCTGCATCCAGTCCAGGAATGACCACTAGGCTGTCCCTGGGAGTGCCCCGGGCTCCCCTGCCAGAATGAGGGGGTTGTCTCTGGCCCTGACCACACCTCCCCTTCCTCCTCCACCTTCCCTTCTCCCTTACTCCCCAGCTGCTCTGTAACAATATCTCAGAATGTTAAAAAAAGAAAGTAAGGAAATGTTCAAAGAATCCTGAAGACATGTCCAAAGGACACAGGAGCTCTCACGGGCCAAATCTGGGACAATCTGAGCATCAAAATAAATCATGAGAGTAATGGGTTAGAACTCAATAAATAAAAAAATTCATAAGTCCTTATTGCTATAAATAAATGAATTATAATAATTATAAAAGATATAGGCAGATATTGGAGTGATGTAGCCACAAGCCAAGGAATGCTGGGAGCCCCCAGAAGCTGGAGAAGGTAAGGAAGCATCTCTCTTACAGATCTTCAGAGACAGCACGGCCCAGCTGACACCGTGACTTCAGAATTCCGGCCTCCAGGACTGAGAAAGTTAAATCCTGTTGTTTTAAGCCACCCAGCTCATGGTAACGTGTTACAGAGGCCAAAGGAAATTCACAAATCACCATGGAGCTTTTGTATTCGTCATTCCCACTGCCTGGAATACTCTCCACCCAGATCCCCCTGGGGCTCATTCCACTCACTTCCTCCTGATCTCTCTGCTGAAATGTCACCTCCTCAGAGAGCCCTTCTGTCTGCCCCAGTTGAGAGAGCCTCTTATCCTATCCCTCCAACTCTATACTCTGCTACTTTCCCTTTAAATGCCAATCACTTTGGATACATCATATTTGTTTCCCTTTTTTATGGCTTGTCCTCTCTGTTTATTTGTTCCATGGTCTGTTGGATAATCTAGCTTTAGGATGAGAAGCTTCTGGACATTTGCTTGGTGGCAATCTTTCTTCAAGTGGGGAGGGACAAGACAGACAAACATTTCCATTAGTCCTGGAATATATTAAATAAAGATTTCTCTCCTAATAAAGAAATTACTTACATTGCAACATCTTTCTCTGGAAAATGTTGCACGCTTGCTACACACACATATATATATATATATAAATAGCTCCACTCACAAGCTGTGGACCCCGGCGACTTGCAGAGCAGGCTCTGTGCCTGTTTCCTCATCTGTAAAATGGGACCAAGCCCATTTTGCAAGTCAGAGGCACTTGCCGGGATGAAATGAGACATCAGAGATACATTTAAGAGGAGCTAGTGCTAGCAGGAAAGGACACTGGCCTCTCTGTGCAGAGCTGCCCGGTCTGTGCCATGCCCTGGGTCACTGGACAGCAGGCATACCCATCCTCTCATTACAGCCTCACAAGTTAGGACTGCTCCATAGCTCAGAGGCTTTCCTTTCCAGAGTTTGCTTCATCAGGGCTGGCTGGCTGGCTCAGCTGGGTAGAACGTGGTGTTGCAACACCAAGGTCATGGGTTTGGTTTCCTGCAGGGTTTGTTGCATTGAGTTTTGGCTTTGGTCTGGCCCCAGAGGTGGATGTGACAGATTAGGGACACTCTCATGCTTAAGCTGAGGGGTGGGCTCATGGCATTTGTGTTAGGACACTGTCACTCACAGGTATGTGGCACGCTCTTTTTATACAGAGCAAATGCTAAGGCAGAAGGAAGCCACCCATGCTCAGTGTAATCACCCAAACGCAAGAGGCCGCATAGCATGTGATTCCACTTACACGAAATGTCCAGAACAGGCAAATCCACAGACATGGAAGGTGGATTAGTGGGTACTTTAAACGAAACGGGAATTGGTGTTTAATGGGGACAGAGTGTCAGTCTGGGAAGATGAGAAAGTTCTGGAGAAGAGGTGGTGATGGTCACACAACAATGTGGATGTGCGTCATGCCGCTGAGCTGTGCACTTAAACACAGTTAAAATGGTGAATTGTATGTTATGTGCATTTTAGCACAATAGAAAAACATTGAAAAAAGAAAATGAAGAAGTAGCTACTGAGAGAGGAAGGCTGCCTCCCTCGCAGTGAATTAAATTGTGTGACAGCTAACACCACACAGGGGGGCTGTCTCATCTAATAATCATGGTGATTCATACGGGCTCTCAGTGGCATCACGTCCTCTGATCACTTAATCACTCTGTGAGGTGGGGAAGGCACCTTGGAACCTCACTGAGCTTCCTTTTTGTCTTTTTTCGTGACCGGTAACGGATTGCAACCCTCAGTGTTGCGCCCGTACCGGACCGGGACCAGCAACAGGATCGCAAACCTCGGTGTTGCGCCCGCACCTCGCTCAGCCAGTGAGCGGCCGGTCTGTATGTGGGATCCAAACCCTCGGCGGTAGCGCCGCCACGCTCCCAAGTGGTGCACTGTAGCAGTGTGCCACCGGGCCGGCCCTGAGCTTCCTTTTGCAGGTGAGGAAACTGAGGTTTACAGGGATGGTGAATCCTTCATGAACTCCATTTCTGGATGCACCTCTGAGAGCAAAAGTGAGTGTCTGGTGTTAGAACAACAGTGGTCACCAACTGCCACTGGACCTCACTTGGAGCCTTGAAGCTCGGGCTCTGAGGTTTGAGGAATGCCCCAGGAGGCCACAAGGGGTTTGAGGCCAATCAGAGGTGGGGGCGCCTGGTGCTGGCTTGTCCTGAGGGTCTTGGGGAGGGAGGAAGGAGAGGGATGTCCTCACCTGGGCTCACTGCTGTCCTCCTCCCGCCTTCCACAGTTCTCCTGGGCCAGCATGTCGGATACCAGCTTGAGGTCTGCTCCGTGTGGGACACAGCCTTCTGGATGGCCAGGAGCCCCTGCTCTGTGGGGTAGACGGTGGAATGCCTACCTGTGACGTGTGGGTCATCTCACTGGACTCCAGCTGCCGCCCGGGCTGCAGGGAGAGGCCATGCAGTCAAGGTGGGCAGAGGGGTCTTGGGGATCTGGGGACAGGTAGACGGTGGAATGCCTACCTGTGACGTGTGGGTCATCTCACTGGACTCCAGCTGCCGCCTGGGCTGCAGGGAGAGGCCATGCAGTCAAGGTGGGCAGAGGGGTCTTGGGGATCTGGGGACAGCGGACAAGAAAGTTGTATTATGGTGGCAGATGGTGCCCACAGGCAACAGGAGGACTTGAGAGGGGGGCCCTGGGCCAGGCTGGCTTCAGGAAGCGAGAGGCAGGCAGGCAGGTGGCCATGGCCAGCCAGTTTGAGGTAGCAGCTCATAGGTACTCACCACAGAGAGCCATGGGGTGGTGAACCAGGGAGGTGCCCCCCACCCATGATCACAGGAAGCTCAGGTCTGAGTGGGGGACCAGAGGACCCCGCTTGAGCAATGTTCTCACATTTCCAGCCCAGAGCCTTTTGGGTGAACCTGGGGCCTCTCCCCCACAAGGAGCAAACCTAGGGTCCCGTTCAAGCACGGTCTTGGCCTGCACGGACAGACGTTCTGAGAGACACCAGCGGGAACCACAGTGTCAGGAAAGAGGCTCCCTAAGGGATGTGACAGCCAGGGCTTCAGGAAGCAGCCTGGGCTCTGTGCCCAGCAGCAGGGGCCAGGGAGCTGGGGCTCCCATCTGTGGAATGAGGGGGGCTGGGCTATGGACCCCCAGGGCCCTTCCAACCCTCACACTCTGAGCACACTTGAGTCTTGGTGCAAGCCCAGGAGCTCTTCACTCCTGGAAGAGGCCAGGTCTTTCCAGTGAGGGATCAGGAGTGAGAGAAGGTCCCACCACCTACCGGGAGTGGGGCGGCAGGCGTTCCCGGCCTGCCCATGAGCAGGGGCCAGCCAGGCAATGCGTGCTGCTGCTACTGCTGCTGGTCCTGGAGCTGTGGCTCCTCCTCCAGCTGCCTACAGTGCATATCATTGTGCCTGCGGGGACGAGACAGGACAGTGGGAGGTGAGGCCAGTGGTGGGACCCCTGAGCCCATCGCTTCAGCAATGCTAATGCCCCATGCCCCACTGAGTGGGCAGAGCGTGGCTCGCTCCCTCTGTGGTGCTCCCCACAGCTGAGGGCTGCCCACATTGGCCTGTGTGTGCACAGGGAAGCTGAGACCAGGAGAGGTCAGGAGGTGGGCCAAGGTCACCCCTGAGGGTGGCTGGGGGACACAGCAGAGGACAGGGGTCAGGAGTGACAGCAGATGCCAGAGGTCGGGGATACACTGGATGCCAGGAGTCAGCAGACATAGTGGATGCCAAGGGTCAGGGGACACAGCAGATACTGGGGGTCAGGGGACACACTGGACCCCAGAGGTTGGGGACATAGTGGATGCCAGCAGTTGGGGCACAGTGGACACCAGGTGCTTCTGCAGTAGCCAGTGTCCCTGTGAATGGGCAGGGAGTGCCTGCCGCCTCTACCTTTATCACATCACTGCAGCAGTAATGAGACCCCTTGGAATGATGCTGAGCACAGCACTAACACCCTTTCTCTCTCCAACAACCAGGACAGCATGGGCTGCTCATTGCATGTGTGATTAACAGCCCCGTCCCTGTGCCTGGAAGCCACCAAGCAGGCCCCCCAATATGGGTGGAGGGTGAGGGTTTGGTCCCAGGCTCTGCCAGGCAGCAGAAGATGGTGGATCTGCTCCCTCCCTGTTGAGGCCATGAGGGGTGGGGAGGGACCGTGAGGCCGGCCCGTGGCAGTGGCACCTCATCTCCAAGTGCCAGCACTGCAACTCCTCCAGCCGCGTCTTGGCCAGGAGCTGCCACTTCTCAGTCGCTCCTCCAGGAGCTTCTGTACTTTGTTGCTAGGCTTGATGGTGATGGGAAGGTTGGGGTTCACTTTTTTCTGGAAACAGAAGTTAAGGCTGTGAGATTAGAGACCTTCATTTAGACAAGAATGCGGGGTCAGGTCCCAGGGACAGAAGGAGAGACCCTGAGACTAACCTCCTCCTGCTGTGTTTATACAATGGTGGGGTTTAAACCCCCCAAAGTCTTGAAACTCCTCACCCCAAGAGCAATGGCAGGGAAAAGGGTCTACTGAGCAGGAACACAACCATGATTGACACTCAGAGTTGACAGATAGTGGCCAAAAATAAAAGCTTAACCCACAGGTTATAGACCTGACAAAGGGGTCACAGGAAGGTGCTGGAATATGACTGGTGAATAACTTTGATGATCATGGGATATTCCCTGAAAATTCAATGCAAGAGCACCTTCTGATTTTAACTAAAGACACTCATTCCCAAATAAAATAATTCAGGACGCACAGCACTTGAGTGAAATCCAGCAATATATATTTTAAATAGCTCTGCCAAGGCATTTGTGGAACTTCATTCTTAGGTCTCAATTTCATCAGTCCAAAATTACAAAGTGTTGTCCAAGGAATATTCATTGGTGGAACAACCCAGAAGTCTATCAAGAAATAAAGGACAAATACAATGTGGTCCACTCCACACACTGGAACGTTACTTGATCACGAAAAGGAACGAGGCTCTGACACATGCTACCACATAGATGGACCTTGAACTCATCACACACAGTGAGAGACGCCAGACACAAAAGGCCACATAGCATGGAATAAAGGACAAATACAATGTGGTCCACTCCACACACTGGAACGTTACTTGATCACGAAAAGGAACGAGGCTCTGACACATGCTACCACATGGATGGACCTTGAACTCATCACACACAGTGAGAGACGCCAGACACAAAAGGCCACATAGCATGTGACTCCATTTACGTGAAATGTCCAGAACAGGCTGATCCACAGAGACAGAAAGTGGATTCATGGTTGCTGGTGATGGGGGAGGGGATGGGGAGTGACTGCTGATGGGGATGAGGCTTCTTTTTGAGGTGATAGAAATGTTCTTAAATTAACTGTAGTGATGATTGCACAACTCTGTGAACATACTAAAAGCCAATGAGCTGTGTACTTTGCACGGGTGAAATGTGTGATGCATGGATGATACCTCAGCAGAGCTGTTAGAGAGAAAGAAGCCCTGTCACCCAGAGGAGAGTCACGTGTGCATGTGTGTAAGCACACCAAGGCTTGATTCTCACATGTGCACGTGTGGTGACAGGTCCTGGTGCCCAGGCAAACACAAGAAAGGGAAGCCTCATAAGGTCAGCTGATGGCCCCTCTGGTGAAGCCCCCAGTGCTGAAGGGGTCCTGGTGAACCCCTTGGCCACCCAGAGCCAGTCCCTACTGAGCCCCTGCTGGCCCAGGATCAGAAGGCCCCTGGGCTCCTCCAAGGACAGCTCCCTGGAAACAGCTCAGCCTGGGGGCCTGGTGCCCACCTGCAGGAGTGACCCCTGCTGATACCCTTCTTGGCACTGAGTCTCCAGGTGCTTCTCTCCAGCCTACATGCTTTCTGTCCTCAGCCCACAGGAGCCCCAGCACACTCCTCACCAGAGCCCATGCATCTCATCAACAGGGCAAAGCTCAGACCAGGCACAGAATTCCCATCTCAAGCATGGTGTCAGCTTGGGACACCCAGGAGAGCTCAAGAAATAGCAACACGTGTCTACCTATGATCACCAAAGTGACAGGGTGTCTGAGAAAACCAGGCAGCATTTGTGCGTCTGTTTCATGTTCATGTTAAGGACTTGACCATGTGTCTTGGGAATTGCCCCAATCAACAAGTGGGTGCAAAGTTTAAAACTAAATGGCCACCAGCGAGAGATGAAATGCACTTGGCAGACACCATGTTGTGCTTGTTCCTATGGTTTTATTCCCTTCCCTTGTTTCACTGATCTGCCTGCAAGTCTCCTGTTTGACCAAAACTGAGGACGCTTTCCAAAATAATGCATGAATGTCACCGGTTTGCTTCTATCCAGCCACCCACCCACCCATCTATCCATCCATCTGTGCACCTATCCATCCACCCACCCACCCACCCACCCATCCATCCACTTATGCATGCATCCATACTTCCTTCTGTCCCCTAGTTCTTGAGTCCCCCTCTGTGGAGGTACTAGGCCAGGTGTGGGCCTAGAACATGAACTGTGAATTGAGGCAGAGGAGGACATCCCCTTGCCTCTAAGGAAGCGTGGGAGGAGCCCAAGAGAGAGCATCCAAAGTTAAGGGAGCAGGAAGAGCTTACGGGGCTCATGGTACCGACACTGAAATATGGCTGAGACTGCGGCCGGCAGGGCTGCAGACAAAGCTCCTCAGGCAAGAGCAAAGGGAGCCACTGAGTTCATCAGATCACCTGGGGCAGAGGAGACTTCTGATCACAGTGGTCTCCTGGCACCACGCGCAGGCTGAGCCTCTGCTGGATGCACCTTGTACTGCAGCTGGTGCCGCCACCCCTTCACTTGCATGTCCCTGGCACTGGGGTCATTGAAACTGCACTCATGCAGCTTGCAGTCATCTTTGCANTAACTAAGAGGGGGTCACTGCAGCATATTTGCATGGTCCACGTGGGGCTTGGAGGTCACCCTAGCTGTCCCCTAGGGAAGTTGTCACCAGCCGGTGGTTATATAAGACAGATACCTGGATCAACCACAGAGATGAACTGGAAGGAGATAGGGAACTGGAAACTTGTCAAGAGCGATGAAGTCCTGCTTCTGGTATGAGGAAGTCAAGCTCATATTAAAAATGGATGTTGAAGCAACATAAAACTATAAGAATTCACTACACCCATGGTTCTAATTTCTCCACATCTTTACCAACACATGTATTGTTCATTTAAAAAAAATATGTAGCCATCCTTGTGGGTGTGAAAAGGTATCTCATTATGGTTTTGATTTGCATTTCTCTAATGCCTAGTGATACTGAATATCTTTTCCTGTGCTTATTGGCCATTTGCATATCTTCTTTGGTCAAATGTCTAT